CTCTCTCACACAGACTCGAGTCGATCATGCCGCGAAGAAGCAAGTCGTCACGTCGTTATTCGACACAACGAAACCACCACAGGCCTAAAGACACTGCACACGATAGACCCATGAAGGCGGAACTTGCTCAAATAAAAGAACTGGAAGCTGCGAGAATACTCTGCCTTGCAGCGAGACTAACAAATCAGGAAAGAAAGATGCATCAGAAGAAGCATGAAGCATGAGAGCGAATGGCATACCACGATTAGCAGCGGCCAAAGGCAGGTATCGTAGAAAGCATTCCAGCGCGTGCAGTGCCGGTAACTCCATGCCCATTTGCATCCATCCATGTTCTTGGTCCAACCACTTGAACTGCAGACGACCATCAGACACCCAAATCCAAACCGGCCAGAACCAACCCACCTCAATTTGTGCAGGACGACGCCAAGACGACCAGGTATCACTTGTTAAAGCGGGGCAAGCTTGATAGTCTTCCAATCCGTGATACTTCAGAACACAAGGTAAGCAGGCATCCCACTCTTGTTTGGTCAAGTACAGGTTGGAGAGGTGATTGCAGTCCAGAGCCGGCCACTGAAGGGCATGACGAAGGCATTGGATTATCCATCGTTGCGGGAGCGAGGCTCTTCCAGGTCTATGTTGTCGAATGGGTTGGAGCAGTTCACGACGTGCCTGGTGTGAGGCATCCCTTCGGAGCAAATGTCCATAATAAGACCACCTTCGTTGCACCCAGGTGACCGTCCATGCTTGGTGTGTAGAGTGGGTGCGCAACAGCTCCCGCATAGCACGACGTCTGACCCGGTTCAGTGCATGAGCACAGGACTCGGATAATGCAGCGGGGATGTTGAGCTTGAAAACATTGCACATGACTGAGTGTTGCAGGGTTTGAAGACAGTCCAAGTGTTTTCGCAGCGGCTCTAGCAGGGCACACATCCAAAGCCATTTGGAGGAGATGTATCTGTCAAACAATGCCATTCCAGTGTGGATTCTGGACCAATGACAGTGCTTGAGAATACCACGCATGGTGTATATCCCACTTCGCACCATTGCAAGACATTGGGGAATGAGGAAATCAGTGAGTGTATCACCATCTTCAC